AGTTTACTGTAGTATATATCTACAGTAGCACTGGTGTTTACTGTAGTATTATATAGTACTATATAATACACTGTTGTTTACTGTAGTATTATATAGTACTATAAGTAGCAGTGGTGTTTACTGTAGTATTATATAGTACTATATAATACACTGTTGTTTACTGTAGTATTATATAGTACTATACATAGGACCAGTGTTTACTGTGGTATAAAATAGTACTATATAATGCACTTGAGTTTACTGTAGTATTATATAGTACTATATAATACACTGTTGTTTACTGTAGTATTATATAGTAGTATATCTACGGTAGCACTGGTGTTTACTGTAGTATTATATAGTACTATATAATACTACAGTAAACTCAAGTGCATTATATAGTACTATTTTATACCACAGTAAACACTGGTCCTATGTATAGTACTATATAATACACTGGTGTTTACTGTAGTATAATATAGTAGTATATCTACAGTAGCAGTGGTGTTTACTGTAGTATTATATAGTACTATACATAGGACCAGTGTTTACTGTGGTATAAAATAGTACTATATAATGCACTGGAGTTTACTGTAGTATTATATAGTAGTATATCTATAGTAGCACTGGTGTTTACTGTAGTATTATATAGTAGTATATCTACAGTAGCACTGGTGTTTACTGTAGTACTTCTTACTCTTGCCGTCATATGTGTGCAGTGTGTCCAGGAGGTCGATGGTGGCGCTGCCCAGCAGCTCCTTCCTCAGGGTGTGGCAGCTCCATAGCTTCAGGTCCAGGCGGCTGTGAGGCGTCACATTACTGCGAAACACACACACACACACACACTAATTAAATCCTAAGAAGGAGTTAAATGGTGACTTTAATATGTTTAATAAGGATGGTTCATGTGTGTGTGTGTGTGTGTCCTCTCACAGCGTCAGGTCCTCGTTCCACTGCAGCTCCAGCTGTCCACTGCGTTTGCCTGTCTTCTTGGTCTCACTGGTCAGACCGTCGGCCGTCACCTCCACAAAGGAGTTGAGGCGAGAGTGACGGGTCGGCAGCTTTGGAGACTGAGGCTTGGCTGACACCACTGTGTACACGGACACACACAGAGTACACAGAGTACACAGTACAACATGAACATCAACAACAACACTGCTCTACTCCTTCATCCAAACTCACTGGTTGTGTCGCTGATTTTTCATTGGCTGAACTCAAAGGTTTGTTCCAGTGATTTTATTTTTATTGTTTCCTGGTGAATTGTATTCAGAGTCTTTTTGTGCCAACTTCTGAAAACAAATTAATTCTAAATAAATACACTGCAGACGTCACTTCCTTGAAGCACTGCAGGCTGGGTACATGATTTCAAGCTTTCCACTTTGCAGAGGGATGGTGAAAAGCCGAAAAATCAACACTGCCCCCAAGTGACGGAAAAGAAAATGTCCGGGTTTTTGTCTAAGAGTGAGAACCAAACAGGTGATGGTATGAAACTGCTCGGTCCACGACCTGGAACACACCTCCAGGACCTTTCCAGGACCTTCACTGACTGCGATCCAGTTTCAGCTACAGCTGAATTTCACAGCGTCTCCATGGAAACAGCCAACACCTGACAGTCTGCTCTCACAGAGAACCTCCTTCTTCCTATTTAAATTCCCAGTTGTTCTGAACTCCCTGTCATTTCCAGTAAATCAGGAATCAGGAAACTGGAGGTGATGAGTCAGTGAAGAGCGAGGCTGAGCCCAGGTTGAGTCTCGTTTCTCTGGGTTTGATCCTGAATCACTTCTGGCTTTCAAACCACAGACGCTGACAGCGTTTCTAATCAGGACATGAGTGGACACAGAGTCAGACTCTGGTCTGAGGTGACGAGGTTAGGATCAGTCTCTGCATCCTACAGTCTTTAGACCGACACACAGACTGGCTGATGATTTAGAGACCGATCAGAGCTTTGTCTCAGGGCTTCAACTCCTTTCCTTTGACCTTCCAGCTCTGTCTCCACATACTGTATTTGTCTAATAATCCACTATTTCTCCATCACTTTCACACACAGCCACACTTGTCCACCTCCTGTGCTCATTGGCCAAATATTTACTTTTACTTTGTGTTCCTCATTTCTCTACCAAAACGAGAGTGGAGAAAGCAATGTGGGTGGATTTGGATTTGACCTGAACTGACCCCTACTATCACAGTACATCATGAACACATGACCTGCTTCAGGAACCATGAAGCACAGGGACACATCTTTTGGTACATTATTTCAGAACATTTTTTCCCTGCCAGGAAACCACAGATTATTATTTTTTTTAAATGTAGAATTACCTTTCAAAATGAGCTGAGACTTCTCAGTGGTCTGGGCAGCTGTGGCTCTGCTAGCACTGGCAGACGCCATAACATCACAGCTCTGAAACACAACAACACCCTGTTATAACACAGGCAGGTTCATGATGTGTGCATAAGAACTACATACATCTGGTTAAAATAGAAACCTAAAAAAAAGAAGACAAAGAGTGTGTTGACAGAGTAGATAAACACTTCAGTCCAAACAAAACAGTATCTACTGGCCCATATGTACTGGTCCATATGAACTGGTCCATATCTGATGGTCCATTTGTACTGGCCCTTCTTTAGTGTAACAAATTGAATATAAACTGATGACATGTCAGTGGCCACGGTCACATCATTGTATTGTTGTCTCCTACTGGACAGACCAGACACACTTCACCAACCATGGACTCAAATGAACACCAGTGACCAGTCTTTGTTTTGACTCCGTGTCATTCACTGCTTCAACACCAGAGGAGAACTTAAGTCTTATTCTGATTTTGATTTTACAACAGTCGTCTAAAGAGAATGAGAACCGTTTATTATATATGGTCTACAAGCAGGAGAATTAAAACAAAACATCACATCAACATGTTTGAAGGAGTGTGGATGAATAAGGCAAGCTCATCCTAAATTCACCCCTCTACACAGGTATAAGACGGTTCCAATGATTTCAGCTCGTAGTGGTCTGTTGAAACACTGCTAACAATCACTCAGTATTAGTAACTAATGAGAAAATACTACTGAGGTCTTTGTTGTACTTCCTCATTAGTTACTAATACTAGTATTATAATACAATGATATTCCCTCTTCCAGCTCAGCCATATAAAAAGAACAAAAACTGTTTTTTTCACTGCATATGTTTCTAATAAGAGAACCATATCAGTCTGAATGTCAACCATTGTGTGACGCACAACATGATTTGACCCGGTCATAGTCCAGGCATGATATTGTATAAAACTGAAGGGTCCGAGGCTCAGATGTGTGTTTGTGTATGAGTGAAAGAGGGAGATAAAACGTTTTGTAAAAGTTTATGGTTTCGAACGGTTCAATAGACCAGGAAACTGTTTTATTAGAGGTATGAACAAACAATTACAGCTGCTGCGCAAAAACACAAACACGGAAGATCCGCTAGAATATTGTTGCTCCATAATCAAGCTAACAGGGACAACAACAATACATCCGTTCGGATTGTATTTCAAAATAAGATTTCAATAGGGAAAAAAGATACAAAAATTAAAGAAATTCTGGTCAAATCTCGTGTTTAAAGGAGAACGCCAACACAAGGGAATTCAGCATAAACATAAATGGTTCCTTCAGTGTGTCAACTCTCGTAACCACTTCATTTCCATTGATTTCGTTTTTCCGGGTGAAGGCTGTTGGTTTTTTTGCGGACTAACTTTGGTTAACTTGACATAAAACAATGACGCTAATGCGTTAGCATCAAGCTCCGCATGAGCATCATGTCAAAAGACGGGTCCGTAAAACCAGCGCCGAACACCGCAGAGCTAGGGGCAGGTACCGAGAGTTCTGTGGTTCCTGTCCAAACCGAACCTGTTACTGACATGACATCCAAACACATTTTAACCGCTTCTTCTTCCTACCTGTGTCAGCTTTGCTCCGATGCTGCTGCCTTTAGCCAACTATCATTTCCGCTCCAGTGACCAGGTCACGTGAACCAGTCTGTTTCCGTTCTAGTTGCAAAGATTTCTAGTTTACGATCTTTAACATTTCTCCGTGTACTGTACATTCTAAGAAAACGCTTTTTTGTCCGTTGTATCTTGAGGCGTGTAAATAAAATGACTTATCAATTAAAACGACTTTTATTACCTTGTGTTTTCCATATATACTAAAGTAAGTCAATGTCTTGGATAAAAATATAAATATATATATAATATAATAATACTCAATTTATTTTACAAAAAACAAACAAACAAAAAATAATTCCGCATTAACCAGCCTATTTTGTACTAGGCTTTTGTTGTGACGCTAAATGTTATTCCTGTCCTAACCGGAAATAGCTGCTCTCATTTTCTCCTCGTTGTGTTTTCATTTTGACCAGTTTACTGAGCCTGATGAAATGTTGTTCATATGTCCATACATTTAAATTCCCTACTATCCACGTGTTTTCATTCACTTGTTGGTTAAAATGTTTGACGCAGATGAAATCGCTAAGTTGTGTTACGATCGTTTCGCGCAGCTTCCCCGCAGAGGGAAGCCTGAAGCGGGTAGAGAGTGGAGCCTGTTGGCTGCTGTTGTCAAACTGAGCCGCTCCGCTCGGTCTGACTCAGGTAACTTCACTTTACGTTCACAACATTTTGTTTAACGAGAGCGTTTTAGTCAAATACCAATTTCATGTCATCCCGTGTAATATTAAATAGTATACATACAAAAAAGAAGGTATAGATTTTCAGAGATACGTGATTTCCAACTGAAACTGAAAACTAAGATAAAGCACTGTATCAAGGTTTAGTTTAAAAAGTTCATATTATCAGCAAGTTCCAGGATGGCGAGTCATGCTGATTGCTGCTCAATTCAGACATAAAGTAAGATGATATGCTGAGTCATCGTGATGACGAGCTCTCGAAGTCTCAGCATGCTGAGTCACAGTCAGTGGGTCATATTTGTAAAATATGATGCACTTGTTTTTAGATGCTGAGTCATTATTTGAAGATGCAGCTTTGTGTCGTTTTGACAGAAGAAAGTTGGTGGACGATTGTGTTGGTAGTAATAAGAATAATAACTTGACCATCTTTATCCTTTTATTATTATTTTTTTACTGTACTGGTTGATATTTAACAGTGTAGAAGAAGTTCAGTGATAACACGTCATGTTCTTCTTCTTCTTCCACAGTGAAGACGGAGGTTGTTTCCCTGGGAACTGGAACCAAGTGTATTGGCCGGAGCCAGATGAGTCCTGATGGTGAGTCTTTTATTCTGGTTTCTCCGGTGCACTGCTCTGTCAATCATTTTCCAGGCATTTGAATCAAATTTTGAGGACCAGAAAATGTACTAAAATATGTCTGAGTGTTTCTGGTCATCACACAGGTGACGTCCTCAACGACAGTCATGCAGAAGTCATGGCCAGGAGAGGATGTATCAGGTCAGCATCATGACTGCAGTAGTGCACTCTGATATGAAGTACTTCCTACAGTCATGAAGTACCTGTGTGCAGGTACCTGATCCAGGAGCTGCACAGAGCAGTGAGCGCTGACCACAGCACCGTCTTCTGTTCGTCGGACCATCCAGGGAAGTGGAAACTTCAGCCTGGCGTTTCCTTCCTCTTCTTCACCAGCCACACTCCCTGTGAGTCCAGCGCCCTCTGCTGGGACCTATATCCAGTCCTCCTTCGATGTTAATATATGATTGAATACATTATTTGTAGAAGATGTCGTTGTCCTGTTTGAGGCGGACCAGCTGTGGCCGTGGACCAAAGTGTGTTTGTGTTTCTCAGGTGGCGATGCCTCCATCGTACCCATGACTGACAGCCAGGCTCAGCCCTGTCCTGCTGTCCCACCCGGGGACACTCGTGAAGACACGAGAATCAGTGAAGAACGTAAAAGAAAATCAACACAGCTGAGTGAAGGTCAAAGGTCAAAGGTTCCTCGTCTGAAGGAGCAGGATCCATCTGAGATGGGTCTGGAGCCTAGGTACCCAAAAGAGTCTGGATTTACAGAAACCCAGATGGCTGACATTCACAGAACAGGCGCTAAGTGTGTCCCCGGGGGCCGCGCTGACCCCCTGCAGCCCGGTGAAGGCTACCACAGCACCGGAGTGTTGAGGGTGAAGCCCGGTCGGGGAGAACCGACCCTCTCGCTTTCCTGCAGTGACAAACTGGCCCGATGGTCAGTGCTGGGCTTCCAGGGTGCATTGTTGTCCCATTACCTGCAGGAGGCGCTATACTTTGATGCCATAGTTGTGGGAAAGTGTCCGTATAGTGAAGAGGTGATGACCAGAGCTTTAGTCTCACGGTGAGAAGAGTCAACCGTCACCGTCGAGTGTTGGCGCTGGTGCAGCCACAGAGGCATCAAGTCTTTGACTCCTCCGCAGGTGCTCCCAGGTGTCACTGCTCCCTGCTGGTTACTCTGTGCATCCACCACTGCTGCTTCAGTCCAGCCTGGAGTTCCCCTTCAGCCTGGAGCAGACACAGCGCCATCACCAGGTCAGACAGGGACGCATCTCCCCTTGTGGAGCAGGTGGGAACAACACACTAACACTTTTGGGCAACTTTCCTGACTCCACACCAACACTGTGCGTGTGTGTGTTACAGCCATCAGCTGGTGTAATGTGACAGAGCAGCCACTAGATGTTACTGCCAACGGCTACAGACATGGAGTTACAAAGAAGGACATGGGAACAGCCAAAGCCAGGTGGCGCTCCACTGAACCTTTGACCATGACTTCAACAGATTTCTGTGGGTCTCACATTGACAGTGTCTCCTCTGTCTCCAGGTCTCGTCTGTGTAAACTGGAGATCTTCCACTCCTTCCTGTCCCTTCTTTCAGCCTCCGAGCCTTCATCACTTCCTGAATCTCTCAGGTAACCAATAAGAAGCGGTTTCACTTCAACATCAGCGATCAGCAGAACTTTTCCATCTGACCAACGTCTCACAGAAGATGTTCCTTCAGACAGTGGAAGAACTGTCTGCTGGTCCACTGCTGCCTCCTGCACGCTGCAGTGACGTTAGCCTGTCGTCTGTTATTCTAACACACGAGCATGCTCTGGTTTTAGTGATCAGATTTATTATCACTGATCAATTACTGAATCATTTGATATGTGTGTGTGTGTGTGTGTTCTCAGGAGAGCTGACCTCCTGACCTACTGGGACTACAAGCGTGCAGCTCAGAGTTACCAGCAGACCTGGGAGCAGCTGAACACACAGGCGTTCCCTCTGTGGCCACGCTCTGACAGGAGCCTCCTGTTGTTCCACTGAGCTCTGATTGGTCGACCAGGCCCGAGTCCCAGACACTGCTGTTTCAGAGGGGTCAGAATGACATGAAGGGTTCTGTCGTTCTTCAACACATTCATTTTATTGGACAGTTTTTCCAACATGTACATGTACTTCAGTCAAATACTATGTAAATACTTCCAGTATATTTGAACTATGACTGTACAACATGGATGGAATAAAAGAAGTCGTTAAAGATCGTGGCGTTCCAGTCATGAATGACACTTTCGTACTAAAACTGGTGACAATGTCGATGACAATGAAAAGTACTGCAAGTAGGAGCAGGTTCTACTACAGATACTACTACAGTACTTCAGATTCAAACTCAACGATGGTGAGTGTGTGTAGAATAATTGTGTGTCTTCAGGCAACACCACAGGACGTGTGTGATGTCATGTGATGTCACTGCTGCGTCCACACGGAGACATATTGTCATCAGTTCACGTCAGATGTGAACTTTAACGGTAACTGAGTGACTTTTTTTCCAATCACCCATGAACAGTATGACTGTAGTATGACTGTAGTACAAGTGTAGTCACTACAGTTATACTACAGTACCGCTGGGTACAGGTGAGTTCTGAATATTGGTGTGAGCCATGAGACTGAGGTCCAGAACTGTTCAGAAACAGTCTTTTCTAGGCGTGTCAGTCCAGTGACGGTGGTCTCTGACATTTACTGCAGAGTCAAAGAGAGGAGCAGCCGTCCAACTGCGTCTCCGTCCAATACTTCACTGCAGATTTTTTTTAGCAAATGATTGAACTACAGTGAAGCGGTCAGGTCCACACCAGCTGCTGCTGGTGTGGACCTGTGTGTGTGTGTGTATTAACCACATGTTGTATAAAAGACCTGGACCTGGACACCAAAGGTGTTCTCCTCGCTGTAGGCCACGTAGAGGAAACCGTCCTGGTCCTTCTCCTTGTCGTACAGCTGTCCCATGGTCAGACTGTTCCACAGAGACAGACAACTGTTGTTATCACTCATCTGGACTCGAGTACAAACGCAGAAACAGCTCAAAGTGAAAATGACCCAGAACTGGTTCTGACCTGGACTGAGGGACGGTTTTGTCCACAAACAGGAAGATGGCTTTCTCTGACGGCAGCTGGATCCGTTTCCTGATGATCCACATGAACTGGGCCACAGTGATGTCAGAGGGAACCAGGTACTTCCTCTTATCAATGTCCAGGATCTGAGAGCCGGAGACCTTCTCCACGATCACCTGGACCAGCAGGAGACAAAGAAGAACCAGTGGGTGTTGGCACAGACCAGTCACGTGTCTGTCAACGTTCTCTGATAGGAGAACTGACCAATCAGAACAGTCGGTGCTTCAAACAATGAAATGTGAAACACGTTGTACTGCTGAGTACATGAGTCTGTCACAGATACTACAGAACCGCTTGTACTGAACCCATAAAGTTCCTGCTACTCTACCTAGAACCTGTTCTACTGCACTGTTGGTCTGTGTTGAAAAACACAGATTAAAACCTGGAACTCATTTCTGTGGGTGGATATTTCTTGGTTCTTTTCCCAGTAACAGTCACAAGATCCAAGAATGGAACCGACATGGGTTCTCCTACTATCCCCCAGTACCTGCTACTACTACTCTAGACCAAGTTCTGAGTACTGGTTCCTGCCCTAGTCAAATCTATACGTCCTTGTCCTTTTATCAGTTCTTGAAATGAATTCATGAATCAGAAACACACACACACACACACAGACTGACCGGTACTCTGTCAGTGTACTTGCTGCGGATCTTGGCAGACTCTACACATCGATGCTCTGTGGAGAGACAAACAGGAAGTCAGACTGGAGTGGGAGGAGCGGCGTCTCCTGGGACTGTTCTCTGTCCAAAACACAGCTCGTCCATTAGTGGACAGGAAGGAGGAGACGAGGACAGCATCAAGGGGAGGCTTCACTCTGAGCTTGTACCCGTACTAGTTCAGTACCAAGTACTGACTGTAGCGTCTGTGAACCGCGCAGCCTTCAACACCACAGACAAAATGAACGCACTCAGAGGCCCCAAATGTAACTTTACATAAAAAGCTAAAGAATAAGCTAATGATTAGCCACAAGATAAAAAATACAAGTCAATAAAATATTTCTGTAAGTTGTTGAGACAGATCAGAACTAGAACTGCATCTGAAGTGGACTGTTAGTGGAACTGTTGTCATGAAGAGTCCACGCCAGTTCTTCAATGTCCGTCTCCTGTCTACAGTCTCTGAAATAGATGTATTTTATTAAAAAACATTTAACCACAAAAGTCGCATGGAGTTAGAACCTAACATGTTAACCACAGCGCCCCCAGTGGATTGCTGCTAACTCCTAATTAGAAGCGGGAGACTGCGTCCATTTTATAAACGGTCTACGGCGAACCTCTGTGCAGCCCAGACAATGACACAGCAAAAACAAATGAAGGATAGAAATATATATATAGAAATATAAACAGAGTGATCAATGACAGCAGCGCCACCGTTAGGTCTATCACAGAGCCCAGCCTGTAGCTGTGTTAGTCTGGTTTTTACCCAGGGAATGATCCTCTTTAAACATCCATTTCATCTTTGCTGGATCCCCGCACTGAGGCCTGATGGTCGGGTCTGAATCTGCGGGAACCGCCGCTGTTCGTCCAGTAGTCCAGGAGGAGACAACACGTCAAAGCAGCGCAGGTGGACGTCCCAGCTGTCCTTCTGTCTCCGTCTCTGTCTGCTGTCAGCCTCCGAGGTGACGTCACCCCCTGCCAATAAGGGTGGTGATGGTGTGCTGCCTTCACGTACGTTCGGTAAAAACATATTTGGTTCTAGCGCTGTTATTTACTGAAATGTAACGATGATATTTCAGCGGGCCACAGTTTACATATTCTGTAGAAACAATTTAAAAAAGTAAACAAATAAATAATAAAAACACATTCATTATTTTTGGCTAACTTTCTTTGGGTGCGACAGATATTATTGGTCTTACATGTAATTTTGACTTTAAATATTTTTAAGTAATATTTTACATTTTTCCAGATTTCTAAAGTCCGTAAATGAGATATAGAAACATACATTCAATGACTCAAAAAATTATTGTTCGAATTTCTAGTTGGTGTGGGATCAATAAACTCGTGTATCTATCCGCGACAACGCCTCCACCTCACGCTACACGGTCACGTGACCGCGTCGCAGTCATGGTAACCGAGAGACGCTGCTTAGCTAGCTTTACCATGCTTTAAAGATTGAGGCTAATGTTGACATTTTTAAACTAAGTTACTTTCAAAAGAAGCTTTCTACCCACTTCGCGATATATCGTGTGGTTGATTTCCGCTTTATTTTCCCCGTTTTACTCGAAACTTGTGTTAGCATTTAGCTGCTAGCCTGAACGTTAGCCAGTAAGCTGGCTCTCCAGCATCGACAGAGAACCGTCGCTGTGTTTTCCTCATGGCTTTTTACGAAGTTTATTCTCATCCAGCTTTAATTCGCTACAAGACGAGCGTCTGCACCAAGGCCACACTTTTCCTCGTCGCCATCCTGTGTCTCACGTACATCTCACCGCTGCTGGTCGCGTACAGGAGCCAAGGTACAGCACGGAGCGGCCGCACGGTTCGGTGTTTATGTAGAGTCAGGGAGTTCGAAACCGCTTTGGATATTCAGGGATTCGGGTGTCATTTCAGGGGGAACTTGTGCTGCAAGAGATTTACCGTTGTGTTTGTGTGTAAAACAATAACATGCTTCCCCTTTAGGGTTCTGGACAAAAAGAAGTACTTATGAGGAACAACCCGTGGTCAGGTACCGGTACGAGGCTCTGCTGGTGGCAGCCACCAGTCCCCTGGGAGACCACGTGACCTGGAGTACCTTCCCGTATCTGAACAACATGCTGGGACCAAACTTCAGAATCCCGGCTGTTTCTGTGAGACACTTGTCTGTGCCGTGACACGCGTGGTGTTCAGTGGATCCTATCATTAACGGGACTTCATCTACAGGTGAGAGAAGAAGACCAGAACCAGGACGGCAAGTTGGATCTCCTCATCTTCAAGCTGCAGCTTCCTCTGAGAGCAGATGAGCAGGTGTACAGTGTCCAGCTGCTGCTCACCTTCAGCTACCAGCTCCACGTACGTACTGACAGTCAGTCGGTCAGTAGATCAGTCAGTCGGTAGATCAGAGTGATCACAGACCATTCCCACGTGTCTTCCCCAGAGGATGTCCACGGTGGTGATGCAGACGCTGGCGTATGTCCAACACTCTTCCTCGGTCCCTGGAGCTAAACTGTTTATCGGTGGTGACCTGAGGCTACAGCAGAGGGCGCCACTAGCTCACCGTGGCCTCAACAACATTTATAACGTTTGTCTCTGGTTCTTCTTCTTCTTCTTCTTCTATCAAAGCCTGACAGCCTTTTAAATGTACTTCCTGAAAAGTCCTGAGTATTTGTAGTAAATCACATGTACGTGAAGGTACTTCAGCGTTACTGCCCCCCCCCCCAAAACAAAGATGTAACAAACAGTTACACCTGAACCCAGGCTCTCGTGTTAGATATTGGACCAGTCTGTAGACTTGGCTCTCTTGTGTTAGATATTGGACCAGTCTGTAGACTGTGGTAGTCGTTGAGTGGTCAGTAACTGACCGACTGTGAGCGGTGGTCATTGAGTGGTCAGTAACTGACCGACTGTGTTCCATGTCCAGGTGTCGGTCATCGACGGCTCCAGTCCCTTTGTCAGTAGCTACGACCTGGAGAACATCATGAGGAGCTACCAAAGCAGGAACTGTGAGTCAGCACAGACGTCTTCAGGTCCAAGAGAAGACACTGACGGACCACTCTCACTGTTGTCATTATCTTCTCCCACAGTGACCACAGTACTGTCCTGTCCCAGTCCAGTCTGGACCCTGGGCCGAGCTGAAGGCTCTCCCTTTGAGCTCAGCGCTGAGATCCGTTACCCCCTGGAGGTCATCAGATATCCTTTCATAATTTCAGAGTCCAACAGAGTAAAAACCAGCTTTGACCCAGTTCCACCTTAACACCGTCCTCCACCTATCGTCCCGGCTTCTGGGAGACCATCAAGTTGGCCTGGATCCAGTATGTCAGTGTCCTCCTGATCTTCCTGTGGGTCTCCGAGCGTGTCCAGAGGTTTGTGTTTCAGAACCAGGTTCTGACCACGGTTCCTGTTGCTGTGGAGAAACTTCACCTGTCCTGACTGTGTGGATGTGTTGAACAGTTTGTGTTTAAATAAAATCAACGTTTTTTACATTTTATGTTTGGGTTTTCGTTCAGTTGATGAAAAATATTTGTCTTTTGATTATTCCAGAACAATTAATTCAGTTATTAAAACAAAACAACAAAGTCTAAACGTAACTCGCCTACTTATAATGGAAATCAATTCCCCCCACGTACCACAAGAGGGAGCCTAAGTACCACAAGTGATTCGTACCAGATCGTGGTGTCAGAACAAATACAGTTAAATTAGTGACGACATTAAACTCAACCCTAACACCTCTGACAAGTTTCGAAGTTTTCATCGAGTTTTTATGTGCTTGAACAAACACTCGTTAAAACCAACTGTCCGCTTCCTTCTCTTGTATCTCTCCCACTACTGCAGTCGTTCCGAAACAAACCGCCAACAAAAATGGCAGCAATTCCTGAAACCGGTTGTGACGTCTGAGTTTTAAGCGTGACACTATTTATTTAGGGCTCATATCTTTTATCGCGATAAGAGAAGACAATCTAAAGCCCCAAATAAAAACCTAAACGTGAACATTCACTCAACATCAGGTAGCGGCTAAGGTGTGGGGCTACGCACGTCACTTCCTGTTTTCGTCATCATATTTAGGTGTATATCTCCACACCGTGGCCAAATTATTTACCACATTAAAAAACTGAATAAAGTAGTATTACATTGAATTGTACTCAGACACGAGTATTATATTCTGCTTCTCTGACTCAGCGGTTTTTTATGTGACGCTCGTCTAAGGTGAAATGTAACAAAACTGTAATAAACTAATAAAAAATGCTTTTGAGATTGATGAATCAAAATGTCACAGCAGCTGTTTTGATTTCAAACGTGAAAAATTTAGTGTTGAAAACAAAAATGTAAAAACTGCAACAAAAAAAACCCAAAATGCGTTGGATACGTCCGTCCAACCGCGTTTTTTCATGTTGTCCATACAACCGACAATGTTTGGGACGTGTAAAAACTGCAACAAAATAACCCCAAAATGCGTTGGATGCGTCCGTCCAACCGCGTTTTTTCGTGTTGTCCATACAACCGACAATGTTTGGTAATTAAAAAAAAACACCTGGATCGTCAACGTTTGAATGAATCAAGACGAAGATGTAAAAATGAAACTAGCAGAGGATGGTTTCGATCCATCGACCTCTGGGTTATGGGCCCAGCACGCTTCCGCTGCGCCACTCTGCTATACAGGTTCACACACTCCAACTGTCATCTATATAATGTTGACAAAAGAACCCTGCGTTAACAACCAAAGTTGTTAAAAGCGGATTTCATCAAATCCCGTCGTATTAGCCAGACATATTTCGACCTCAACGTCGTCTTTGTCTGCTCCAGGTCAAACACCCACAAACTGATGACGACAAACGGTCCAGACTTCACCGACTCAACAATAACCGAGTTGGTTTGAAGATAATGACTCAAAAATTAGGACAAGACATAACATCTCTTGGCTAAACGATAACTACAAACGAACCAAGAGACAGGAAAATAAACGTCTGACAAAAAATATCAGCAACAATTACAACAGACTTCACCTCCAGAACGTCGTCCTTCTGCAGTGCAAACGAAGCAACACCACCGTGCTTTTCACAATTTATTAACAAAATGATAAAATAAATAAATACAAATTGATCAAATGCTCCTAATATCAACTCCTCCCGTGTTCCCTACAGTATTTCCTAAACACTGCATACAAAGAATTCATCACAGAAGAGGCTCAATACAGAGAGGTAAGAATCCCACCAGACCAGTCACAATGTCAGGCCAACAGAAGACACATCTGGAACACAAGTCAAAAAAATAAACACATTCCTTTCCAAAATCATTATGAAAAAATACAAACAATTATACAAATATTCAGATTGTGTAATTACCAGTTTACACATTAGTCAGCACACCAGGTGAACGTCGGCCGTCGTCTCATCGCTACAATGCATCTCACCAAATGGAAGATTAAAAAAGACTTTGATTTCTTTTGCTCTTTTTCGTTTTTTTCTTTTTTTTTGTTTTTGCAGTCCACCCCCTCCCACCCCCAATGGAATCAGCTGTGATGAGGTAAGAAACTTCAGGTGAACGGTTGGGTCCAAACAGGAAGGATGGCGAGCAGGAACCACAGACTCAAAAATACTACAAGGCCACGATCATTTCTTGTCTGGATCGGAGTTTGTTTTGAACAGAGCGATGAGTCAGCAGAACTGACGCAGACCTCACACACACACACACACACATACACATACACACTCATGCACATGTGTGGCCTTTTTTTTCCAGCACAGTGAATGCACACGATGCTAATGTAGAACGTTGACTTCTGTTGATGACGTGTGTGAACCATGTGACCTTGTACTGTGCAGCAGTCTTTGGATAAAACTCAATGTTTTTTTTTAAAAAAAGTGTTCTACTAAAACCAAAAAAGGAAAGAACCAGTGTCTGGGGTCCAGCTGCTGTGGGCTGTGGGCTGGATCCCAGTGTTGACCTCAGACAGTTCTTGGAGAAATGGCCATAGCTGGACGTCAGCGTCCCACAACAGAGGCTGCACCCCAACCCTAAAGGGTCATGTGAACGTCAGCTGGTGGGTCAGTTAGTAATCAGTTAGTAATCAGTTAGTAACCAGCTGATTAGTCGATAGTTCACCTTTTACTAAGTCTCCAAATACACAGGACCATGAACTCATCATCGCTGCCCTGTAAGGCTGTGTAGGCCGTGGGGTGCAGCCCTCTAAATGGGACATGCCCAGTATGCTACACACTGACCGCCCCCCCGCTCTCCAAAATGATTTAAAATGTGTGTCAATGGCATTTCTTTCACCTCAAACACAAATGGTTCTCAGAGGGTTTAGTTCTGGAACCACAGGTCCATGGCCATTTCTGAAACACTGTCAACAAGATGGGAGTACCCCCCCCCCCCCCCCCCCCCCCCCCCCTGCCGCCCGAAGTCTCACCCACACAACACAA